AAATTGATACTGCTGGAGGTTGGGGAGATTCCCAGTTTTTTTTTGTGGAGGTGCAGATGTGGGGTCCCCTCCCCACCCTGCCCTCCCTCCTCCGAGCGCCGCACGCGATGTCAGCCCTTAATTGTTTTATCTCGGCCATTAATTGGCTTTGGGAGGGGTTAATTACTTCTGAGGGGCGGGAGGGAGCGCTGCCCCTTTGGCGGCTGGGGCTTGTCAGAACAAATCAAGGCCGATTTGTGAGGCTTCATCCCTGCTTAAAAAAAAAAAAAAAAAAAAAAAAATTTCACCAACTCCAGGTTAGAAATAAGGGATAAACTGCACCCAGCTCTCTCTCTGGTGCCGAGGAAGGTCAGGAATAAATCCTGCAGTAAATCTCCCCCTTCCTGTCACACATCCCATTAAATCTGTCTGTCAGGACACTCTCCAGGTACTGAAACTCCAAAAAGGAGCTGCTTTGGTTGCTCAAGGCAGAAATTACATTAATGGGATTTAAATACCCGCTAATGGGTTTAAATACAGAAATGAGTTAATGGGATCAAAGGGGAGAGGAGCCGTTCCCCCTTCGCTGCCACATCCCTGGTCTGGGATGGGTGGGGGGTGCTCAGGTGGCCCCACAAACACACGGGGAGGCAGAGCAGCAACAAAACCTCTCTTTTAATTGCTGGCTTGCCCTGAGGATTTATTCTGACTCACAGACAACCCCGGGGCTGCCATGGGCAAATGAGTGCGGGCTCAGCTCCATTCCCACTGCCACGAATCCCAAAAAAACCTCCAGCTGTTCGTCAAGGGGAGAGTTAAAAGCAGGGCAGCTGCTCCCTCTGAACACAATCCACCATCTCCTCCTAAAAAAACAAGGAGCAGGAACCCCCCCAGCCCAGCTCTGCTCTGCACACACCTTAGAAAAATAGATTTTTATTGAAATTCTCCTTTTTTTTCTCCAGGGAGTTTTCTTCTCTCTTGGAATAGAGACCAAGCAGGGTCTCTGGATTCGACCTGTGCCTGCATTTCTATCAGGATCAAGAGTTAAAAGCCAACTGGTGAATCTCTAACTCTAGAAAAGGCTGCGTACAATATATGGCTTTTGCACCTACATCCAAGGGGGTCTTGCGGGTTGGGAGCTTTGGGGAGCTCGTTTGGGGCAAAGCCAGGATGGGGAGGGTGGCGTGGGATGAGGGGACAGCCAGGGACCACATGCAGCTGTGCACAAAGCCAGGAAATCGGCACATTCCCAGAGTGTGGGATCCTTTGGTTTGGCTTTGGGACACCCCAAAGCTCAGCCCCAGGGTTTGCTCCCCACGGGGGTTGGGTGCAGCTGGGTTGCAGTGTAGACCCTACTCCTGACCCCCTAAATTGCTCCTGCCCCTCCAAAAATGCTCCTGAGGGGCCGTTGTGGCTCGTGGGCTCTGAAATGAGACCTGGATGAGCCTGTGGGTTCCACCAGCTCCTGTGTCCAGGGAAAACGTCCCCCTCTGGAGCAGCATCCACAGGGAAGGGGAGCTTCCACTGCTGGTGGGGTCATGGGCCACCCCAAAGGCTGGAGCAGCAACTTTCCCTGGTGCTGTGGAATTCCAGGGAATTCTCAGGGAGCCGTGAGATGGCTCAAGGGACCACAGCCACCACCTTGGGGACATGGCACAGCATGGCCTTGTCCATCCCATAACCTCAGGCACGATCCACAGGAGCATCGCCCACACGGTGCCACGCCCTTGGTCCATCCTCCCTTGGGAAGGCTGAAAATTCCATCCAAGGACAAGTAGAAACCTTCCAGGGCTGGGATTTTGGGGACACCCAACCCAGGGAGCTCAGCTCTGGGTGCATCAGGCACGGCTTGAGCAGCTCAGCACCCCCAGGAGAGCCTGAGGGGGACACAAACATCCCACTGCACTTCCCAGGAGGGCTGGGGCAGCCAGACCAGGAGCAGGGAAGGCACCCGTGCCCCGCAGGTTGGCCAAAAAAAAAAAAAAAAAGCTCAGCGGTGGCTGGGGACCTGCGGCAGCTCATGCAGGGAGTGACCAACACCTACAGCGGCACACGGAGGGTTAAAACACGAGCCACCCACTGGGTGGAATTAGCCAGAAGCCAGGAGGACACCCCTGGGCACAACAGGGGCGCTGTCCCCCTGCCGTGGTCGCCATCATCTGGGGTAATAATCCTCGGGGACCCCCGAGAGGTTGCGGAGTTTCAGCGCCGCGTCCACGGTTCGGATGTAGCCGCCGATCGCCTTCCTCATCTCGGGGGTGTAGGGGTCGTACTCCAGCTTCCTCAGCCCCGAGCGCTTGAAGTTGCCATCCTTCTGTCCCTCCACGCACAGCAGCCTGTCCTCGCAGGCTGTGACACCCAGCAGTGCCACCATCCTCTGCAGCTGCACGAACAGGTCCCGTTTGAGGTCCTCAAAGTGCACCACCAGCACCTTCTTGCCATAGCGCAGCCAGTCCAGGGTGTGGGTTGCCCACCACGGAGCGTAGTTAGCCACAAACTCCGGCCACTCTGGGGGGAAAAAAAAAAAAAACAAGCAGGGGATGTTGTTGGATCTGAAAAATCTGGAGTTTTTTGAGTTTTCTGTCCTTCCAGGCCCCCTGGAAAAACACTGCTCTGGAGCTGAAACCGTGGAGAAGGCTTGGAAATATGAGTAATGAGTTAGGAATCACAAATGTGTGGTGGGTTAGATGTGTGTGTTTTCGCTGGGTGATGGGTTTTAAATGTCCCATATCCACCACTATACTATAAAAACCTCACAAGATGGAGAATTTGGGGTGGTGTCTTTTTCTTTGTTCATCTTCTTTACAAAACTCAGGTAGTAACCTTTGGTTGGTCAGTCAAAAGTCACTCTAAGAATCTATCATTGGGCCAAAAGGATAAATAATGTGGGTGTTAAACTTTTATTGGTGTGTTTAGCTCTAAAAGGCCTTGAAGCAGGCTCAGCTGTAGATATTTTCCCCACTTCTAGCAAGGAGCTAAAGGTGCTGTGGAACTTTCTGTAATTTTTGATAAGATACAACAAACATCCAAGCCCCAACACGAGAATCTCAATCACCTTTCTATCAATCCTGGCTCTGAGGGAAAACAGATGAGACTGATGACAAACCACTAATAAGGGGTGCAAAGCCCATCATACACCCCCCCCAGATATGAGTGGCTGTCCTCTGTGCCCTCTCCCATCCAATTAACCTTCTGGCTAATTGATCCTGCCCTTTAAATCACGCAGGGAAAGGGGTGATGGAACACCCAGGATCTGTTGCGTCTCTTCCGAGGGGGGAAATCGATGCCTTGAATTTTAAGTTTTTCTTTTCTTGGGTGTGCAGCTTTCAGTTTTATATTAAGGGTGGCTAGGATCTTTTCACAGGGTGGTGAAGACAAAACAGTTCTATTCCAGCTGGGGACTCAAGGACAATCTCTGCAAACTTCAGGCCCTAAGCATAAACAACGTGAAAAGAGGGCAGGTAAGCAAAGAGGATGAAACTTCATTATTTGAGGCTGTTAATTGGACAGTTCTGTATGCAAATGGACTAAAACCTATAAAAATATGAGATCTCATGACCAAGCCCTCTTTTGCTTCCATCTTGGAGCCATCTGGGCAACAGCTGTGGCACTGGTACTGCCAGGGTGTGGCCTCTGAAGGTCTCTCTTTATAAAATCTTTATAAAATCTTTATAAATATCTATTTTATTCCTCTTAGCTCTGTCTAGCCTCCGTTCCAGCTTCTCTAGGCATCAGCCCTGCATTAAAGCTCCAGGAATCTCCCTGTTCCTCGTGTCCTCCCTGCAAAACCAAGGCCTGATTAACAGCTGGACTGGGTTTAATTCCCTGAGGAATCGTTAACCACAGGATGTGTTCCATTAAACAGATCCAGGACAATTCACCTTGTGTAATCACAGCACATAAAACTTTGCTTTGGAGCCGCTCCAGGGATGTCGTAAAATTAATGCCACGGAACCAAACAGGGGTTTGGCCTCTGCAGGGCTGGGAATGAGCTGGGAGAAATGGGAAAACACCCCCTCAGCACTGGGAGTGAGGCTGGAGAGAGGGCCTGGGGATTTTTTTTTCCCCTAAATTTACCCCAAAATTAGTTCTTGGGAGAAGAAAATAATTTGGAGAGCTGGGCTGGAATGGGACTCTCATGCTCCATGTTCAGGGGTCTCTCCAGCTGGGAATGGGTCACCAACCATGCAATGGAAAATCTCCATCTTCCCCAGCAATAGTTAATTAACCTGACAATTAACCCATTGGCTAATTACTCCACACATCCTCTGGAAAGAATTTGGTGATGTATTTTGAAGTGCATCCAAACAAGACTGTGCTGGCAGGGAGGGAATTGTCCCCTCTGGATCTCCTTCCCCTCAGACACACAAGGCTGGGAAGGGGGTTGGGACTGGGATAGGAGAAGGTTCAGGAGGCTCCCTGTGGTGCTGGGATACAAATCCTGGCTCTATCCACAGATGGATGGGGAAGAAAACCAACCAAGAGGCTCCTGTGCCACCACAGTGGGGACAGTGCCAGCCTAGGGGCACAAGGCTGAGGAAATGGGGGACACCACACCCCGCTGGTTTTATGGGATGGGGAGAGCAGGGCTGGGCTGGGCTGTCCCCAGCACTGTGAGCACATGGAGATAACGAAATCCAGGCACATCCCAGCCACGGCAGCCTAAGCTCCCCTTAAATAAACTCAGAATTAAGGGTAGCAGATGTTCAATCAAGCTAAACATTTTAACTCTTTCCAATGAAGTCAATCCCAAAACAGCAATTTGGAAATTGCTGTAATTAAGCAGCCTCCAGCACATGCCTGTGAGTGGGAAAGGTGGTGGCTCGGAAGCAGCTGGACACATGGAAATAACTCCTGGATACCACAGGGATGGGCTGGGGGCTGCCACCACACCCTGTGGTCACACTGGGGACAGGAGATGGCCATCCTTGCCTGGGTTAGCCAGGGCAGGGTGCTCCTGCTGTCCTGTTCCATTCCATCCCATCCCATCATCCCATCTCATTATCCCATTCCATTATCGCATCCCATCCCATGGATCCCATCCCATCCCATGGATCCCATCCTATGAATCCCATTCCATCCCATCCCATGGATCCCATTGCATTATCCCATTGCATTATCCCATCCCATGGATCCCATCCCATGGATCCCATTGCATTATCCCATCCCAACGATCCCATCCCAACACGGGAGCCCGCGACCATCCAAGCTCCCGCCAACAGACGACCCCAAAGCGGTGGCACAGCCCAAACTCCCCCATGGACACCCAGCTCCAGCTCTGCTGGCCTTTCCCACCCAATTCCCGTCTCTCCCAGAGGATTCCCTGCCCCACCTTTGCCCTTCCAGTGGGCGTGGGCGGCGAAGCCGATGTGTCCCCCGTACTTGCGGTTGAACTCGGCCATCAGGGCCTTGTAGGGGTTGCGGATGAGCAGGATGGCAGAGTCGAAGGACTCGATCTCCTTCTGCCCACTCTCGTGGGTCTTGATGCAAATGGTCCTGCCACTCCTCCAGTGATCCCGCTCCCCCTTGAATCCTGCCCGGACAGAGCTGGGATTATTAACAGGGAGCTGGGAAAGGGGCTCAGCCTGGGGGAAAGGAGGTTCAAGGGGGGATCTTGTGGCTCTGCACAACTCCCTGACAGGAGGGGACAGCCAGAGGGGACAGGCTCTGCTCCCAGGGAAAACCAGACAGGATTAAATGGCCTCAGGTTGTGCTGGGGAGGTTTAGATGGGATGGAAGAGAAGATAAAATATCTCTACCCAAAAGGTGATCAGTCCCTGGTACAGCTGCCCTGAGCAGTGGTGGAGTCCCCATCCCTGCAGGGATTTAAAAGCCTCGTGCATGTGGCACTTGGGGATGTGGTGGCCTTGGCAGTGCTGGGGGAACTGTTGGATTTGGTCTCAGAGAGATTTTCAAACCCAAACCACCCCATGGTTCCATTAAAGGGAACATCACAGGGATATCAGATTGCAAAATCCAGTTGGATGATGAAAGCAGCTGGGGCATGAAGGAGGATTTGCATCCCTCGCCCAGATGGAAATCGTTTATTTTCCCATGTTATGAGTCTCATAAAATTCATGAGTGGGTGGCTCACAGGCAGAGGGGCCCCTCAGGGTGACACCTCCCTGGCCACACTCGGCTCTTGTGCCTGTTTTGAGGGGTCAAGGGCAGATTTTTATGGCTTTAACCTCCCTGAGCACAATAATAAACAAAGAAAGGGAAATCCTTGTGCCTGTGGGCCAGCGGATCAGCTCAGGGTGGGGGTGATGTCATGGGGGGTCCAGAGAGGGGACCCTGCACTGAGCATGGGGCTGAGCCAGCATCAATCCCGGCCCCTGGAATGCACCTGGAGCGGGGGATGAGCTGGAAGGAGCTGTATTCCATCAATTAGAGAGGTGTAATTGGCTCTCAGCAGTGCTGGTTGCCTGGATACCTCCCGACCCCTCCGACAGGGAACGAACACGGAGCCCACGCTCGGGTGGCTCAGCAAAAACCAGCCAAGGCTTTTCCCACTGCTGCTCCTTTCCCTGGGATGCTGCTGCACCCTGGGGGCTGGGACTGTGCTCCCTCACTGAGCATCTCCCTCTCTGCAAGGCTGGATTTGGCAGGAATTCGGAAGGAATGTGCTGCCTGTGGTGTGGGGAAAATGGGAATTTAGGGAATACCCTGGGTGCAAACCCCACAAACCACATGGCACAGATACAGATCCCAACTCCACCACAGCTGAGGAGGAAGGGAGAATTTTCTCTCAAAGCCACAAAAAGTGAAGGAATAACAGGAGAAATCTTCAAGGTCTCCAGATTAAAGTGTTGTGAGTGATTCTAAACTGGGGGAACTGGGAATGGGTTATTAGAACCAGAATCCCAAAATGCTTTGAGTTGGAGGGGATCTTAAAGCTCATGTCATTCCAACCCCCTTGGAAAGGGACACCCTCCACTATCCCAGGTTGCTCCAAGCCTTGTCCAGCCTGGCCTTGGACACTCCCAGAGGTGAAGCAGCCACAGCTTCTCTGGACAACCCCTGCCAGGACCTCCCCACCCTCCCAGGGAGGGATTCCCTCACCAGGACACTCCAGCCCAAACCACCCCATGGAGCAGCAGCAGCCACACCCAGCTCTGCTCTGCCCTTCCTGCAGCCCCTGGGATGTCACCAGGACTGTCCCCAGCTGGGGTGGGACCCCAGGAGCGCCCTGCCCTCACCTTTGTTGTAGAGGGAGCCATCAAAGTAGTAGCTGCCGGTGTAGAAGCCGGTGGCCAACTCGATCAGGTGCCTGGCCCAGGTGTTCCCAGCTCCAGGAAAACTGGCCAGGGCCACCAACTGCTTGGCACGGCTGGGCAGGAACCTCCTGTCCATGCAGCGATTGTCTGCAGGGAGAGGCACCAGGAATGTGTCATGGAAAGCTGCTTTTCCCACAGGGATAACTGAGGAGGCGCTGCTGCTCCCAGGAAAAGGCTGGGGAAGGGGTGAGGAGTTGGCTGGGCAGGGAAAGGTGCCCTGCCTAAAGCTTAGAGGGAAATCCCAAAGAGTCCTAAACATCCAAAAAGTCCAAAGAAGATTTTTCCAAGGAGTTCTCTGTCATTCCCGGCTCTGTGCTTAGGGAAGAGTGACTAACACGGATTCTTGTGCCAAGCAACACTCCTGCTTTTTTTATGGCTCAATGAACAGCATTTCCAGCACGCCCTCAAACACCAAAGGATCGTGACAAGACTGACCCAAAATCACCCAAATTTGGGTCCTCACTTGCTCCCTTCAGCCCTTTCCTCTCCTAGGAATAATTTTACTTTCTCCCAATGCTTCCCTGGCTCCCTGCTCCCACTGCTGGAGGACAGGAGCCCTCTCAGGAATGTTCTGCCTGGGCACAGCCTTTCCTCACCCCCGCATTTTTCCCTGGAGCTTCTCCCCTCTGGATAGCAGACTCCCACGGGATCATGGAGAGGCGGGAAAACCCTGGGAAGGAGGAATCCTGCACGGAATCTGCAGTGCCCTGCAGCTGAGTCAGGCAGCAAGCCCAGCTCATCGGGGAGCCCCGATTTCCCAGGGGATGACAAGCAACGCTCATTTTTAATGGGATGCTCACACTTCCCCCCACCACTGGGAGTTCCTGGAGGATGGTTTGGGAGAAGCTCACCCTGCACTTGTGTCTGGTAGACCAGCAGGAAGTCGGCGGAGCCGCAGCTCTCGAACTCCTCGGCGGCGCATTTGTGCGCGCAGAGCTGCTCGTCCTCTCGCTCGTGCAGCGGGAACAGCGTGCTGGGAAAGCCACAGCGGCACGTGGTGCCCGCCAGCGCTGCCAGGGGGAATTCCTGCAGGGATGGATGGCCACAGGGAATGGCACTGGCACCACCCTCCCACCTGCCGGGGCACAGCCTTTGCTCCCCTGTACCTGACCTTGCTGGGCGGTGCAGGGTGGTTTGTAACCACCATCCTTCCAATCCCAGCATCATTCCAGACCATTCCATCATCAATTCCAGACCATCCTTCCAATCCCAGCATCATTCCAGATCATTCCAACATCATTCCAGACCATCCTTCCAGACCATTCCAGCATCCTTCCAGTTCCAGCATCCCTCCAGACCATTCCCAGCACCATTCCAGACCATTCCAACATCATTCCAGACCATTCCAGCATCCTTCCAGACCATTCCAGCATCCCTCCAGACCATTCCCAGCACCATTCCAGACCATCTTTCCAGTTCCGGCATATCTCCAGACCATTTCCAACATCATTCAATTTCCAGCATCCTTCCAGACCATTTCCAGCACAATTCCTGACCATTCCAGCATCCTTCCAATTCCAGCATCATTCCAGACTATTCCTCCACCCCTCCAATTCCAGCATCTTTATACCTTATTTCTAGCATCCTTCCAGACCATTCCAGCATCCTTCCAGACCATCCTTCCATTTCCAGCACCATTCCAGACTATTTCTCCATCCCTCCAATTCCAGCATCTTTACACCTTATTTCAAATACCATTTCCAGCATCCTTCCAGCTCATTCCAGCATCCACCCTCCATCAGTTCCCACTGCCAACCTTTCCCCTCCCTGCTTGGAGGCACCACGCCCCAGGAAGAGACCCCTGGACCAGAGCAGGACCCCATGGTGACCCCTTTAAATGTCCCTTCCAACCTAAACTCTAATTCTGGGATGTTCCTTCCCAAACTTTCCCAGGGCTGCTGCTGGCTCCAGTCCCTCCCGTGGCAGGGACACAAATCCATTTATCCCTTTGCTGTTTGGATCCCCAAAAATGATGTCCCTAAACTGGGTTTAAATCTCCCGGTGTGACTCTGATGATGACGATGGAAACAAAGATGAAGAGGTGAAATTTATCCCAGTACCTTCTCTGTGCAGAAATCCACACATTTATCCACGGACATGTTGAGCATGAGCTGGCTGGCGGGCAGGGCGATGGAAACATTTTCTGGCCGGCGGAAGCAGCCCCGGAATATCGCGCTTCCATCTGGGAGAGAGAGAGAGAGAGAGAGAGAGGCCCCAGTGACACCCCAGAAACGACACTGCTGCCACTCTGTGTGACACAGAATTCCTGACTGCTCCAGCAGCCCCCAGCCCCTCCAGCAGTGCAGCCACATAGGATGATGCTCATCCGGCTGCTGACGGAGCAAAATCAGAGCAAAACCCCGGCAGCAAAGTCAGGGTTTTTTTTTTTCCTGGCTGTTTTTATCAGCTCAATAATCCTAGGAATGAAGCAGGGATGGGTTTGGTCAGGTCTTTGGACCCATCCCAGGTCCTTGGCACCCTCAGCCCTTGTGCATTCCTGGTTGTTGCCATCCCCTTTCCCATTCCTTGGATATGAGGAAAGGTGAGCAAGGAATGTGGGTAATTATAGAGCTGCCTAATTGGGAGAAAACGAGGGAGCACCCTCAGCTCTGTCTGGAATTCCCACACATCCTTCATCCTGCAGCACACACAGGAGACACTGTTTGGCCATCAGGAAAGAAAACCCACCCAAAATCTCCCAAAATTCCCTGAATTCCAGCAGGAGTCATTAGCCCTCCTCATTCCACCCAACCCCAGCCAGCAGCATTCCCCACAAGGAAATTCCTGATATTTCCAGGAGCAAAAACTACCCGGACTCAAGAACCACTCTCTGGAGAGGTTCACCTGGCTCAGAAATTCCAGGATCACCTCTCCAGCACCAGGAGACGTTCTCCCATTCCAGGATCCCTGCCTGGAACTTACACCTGCGGGCGGATTCCTGGGCCAGCTCCAGGCGGTAGATGGAGAGCCGGTTGATGCCACCACAGGTGTTGCTCCTCTCTCCCTTGCATTCCATGTTGCACTCGGATTCGCTGGCGTTGGACGCCTGGATCTTGTGCCCGCAGTAGCACTCGGCCCCGAATTCCAGCCCTGCGTACAGGTACCCCCTGCCAGAGGGAGATGGGGGTCTCAGCATATCCCCGGCATCCCCCCGGATCCAGGGGGTTTGGAAAGAGCATTCCTGCTTATGGCCAGTGCTGGGATCAGCTGTGCATCCCAGGGATTTGTTTTTGGGCTGGTGATCCTTGTAGGGCACTTCCAACAGAAAATATCCTATCCATGATTCCATCCCATTCTGGAATTCTTTCCTATCCTATCCATATTCTTTTCTAATCTATTCTATCCTATTACTCCACTCCATTCCATCCCATCCCATCCCATCCCATCCCATCCCATACCTCCCATCCTACTCTATTTTCATATCATCATATGATATCATATCATATCATTCCATTTAATTCCATTTAATTTCATCCCATCCTATCCCATCCATCCCATTCTGGAATTCTTTCCTATCCTATCCTTCCTTTCTATTCTATCCTATTACTCCACTCCATTCCTTCCTATCCCATACCTCCCATCCTCCCCTATTTTCCTATCACATCCTAATCTATCACATCAATCATATCATAACATCATATCATTTAATTCCATTCCATTTAATTTCTTTTCATTCCATTTCATCCTGTCTCCTGTCCTATATCCTATTCTATCCTGTAGGAAAGGATTGATGGAGACAGTGCTCAGGGATTCATGGAAATTGTGGGAAACGATTGATGGAGATGGTGTGCAGGAATCGATAGGGACAGTGTGCAGGGATTCCTGGAGATGGTGGGAAGGGATTGATGGAGCCCGTGTGCAGGGATTGATGGAGTGTGCCGGGATCCATGGAGCCCCTGTCACCGTCCCTACCGCTCGGCACAGTTGTCCTGGCAACGGAACACTGTCATCTTCTTGTAGTCGAAGAAGGACATCCCACGCAGCGTCCTCTGCCGGGTGTTGTCCTCGTAGCAGCCGATGTACCGGGCTGGGGACAGAGGGGACAGGGGGTCACAACCCACCGATCCCACCCCTCGCGATTTTTCCCTAAATAGGGATGTGCAGCAGCATGCCCTGTTTGTTTGCTTTGGGTCCAAACCAGGCAGGGACACATTTCACTCTCCCAGGTTGCTCCAAGCCCCATCCAACCTGGCCCTGGACACTTCCAGGGATCCAGGGCAGCCACAGCTTTTCTGGGCACCCTGTGCCAGGGCCTCCCCACCCTCACAGGAAGGAATTTCTTTCACGGTGCCACTCCAACTCCAAGCCACACTCTGGGATAACACTTCTCACCTCCTCCCTGCTTTCCACACCTCCTTGGGGTCCCTAACCCAGCTCACCCCATCCATGGTGTGCCCCACACAAAGACCCCCCCCCATTCCCAATTATCCCAGCACAGCACAGACCCCACCAATGCTGGAGACACCTTCCCAAGCCAGCCTGGAGCCGGCAGAGGAGCCAGATGGAGAGAAATGTGCTGGATAACTTCGACCACCAGAGCCATAACTCCCGGTTTTGCATTCCCACAGTGCTGAGCAGGTCCTGGCAGGTCAGTGGATTCCAGCCATGCTGGATCCAGCGGGTGTGGGATGGCTCCAGACACTCGCACGGAGCCGGTGACTGATGTGCATTACCTTCAATCCAATGCTCCCGACATATGTGTGCTGCCACTTATTGGGAAGCCAGCTGGAATAATTAGGGAGAGACGAGGACACAAGAAAGAGATACTAACAGGGGAGGAGTGGGCTGGCAGTTTGTATGGAGAGGGGAACCTCTCCAGGAGGAATTTTGGAGCCTGTTGGAAACACGGCTCTGAGCAGACACACATGTCCACCCAGTGCTTGTCATTAAATTCCCCAAGCATCCCATTTTTCCCAGAGCTAGGGATACAGGGATGTCTCCAGCAGTCTCCCTGGGGTGGCTGGTCCCTCCATCCTCATGGAATTGCTTGGTTGTGTATCACAGGTAGGAATTGCTGGATTTGTCCAGGAAGGCACCAGAGATGGATGTGGCTGAGGGTTGGGGTCTGTTCCTGCTTCCCTTGGCTTCACTGCCTAAAAATCCTCCCTGGCTGGAGGCAGGAGATGCCCCCTTCCCACGGGGATTTGCATTCCCATGGGGACGAGGCCGTTCCCTGACAGACAGGGCTGTTCTCCACCCACACCTTCGCCTGACACTGCCAGGAGAGGGAGGAGGAGGCTGAGGGAGCTGCACATCACGCTCTAAACCAGCGCTGATTTTTGGAGCAGTATTCCCTCTGGAATGATTTCACGTGGCAGAGCCTCCGCAGCCACCTCGTTAAGCTGTCCCCACTTAATTACCAGCGCCATTAAATCCGCCTGCTCCTGCCAGATATCCCGGTGCTCCAGAGGAGCAGGGAAGTGAGGGGGAGCTCCCGAGGCTCCTCCAGCCACACCAGGCACACCGGGCACGTGGGATTTCTCAAGCTGCTGGATTTCTCCACACCATCACACTCAGGAGCTGCCAAGATGTTCCAAGGGGAAAACCATACTCCCAGACCACCTGAGAGCAGATAAAATCCAGGAATCCCAAGCCCAGCATCCCATCCCTGCTGGCAGTGCTGGATGAGGTTAATCTTGGAACACACGGGACATATGGCCCGGGACACGGGCTCTGCTTGGGGTCTCTATGGGGACAGACAGCCTGGGCTCAGGGACCATCTGCTGAGGCTGCACTAAAGTCAATTTGCATTAATGGAGAGACGTGGCCACCAAAACGCCCCAGAGGCTCCTCGGAGCGGGGTCACAACGGGGGAACCCCTTCAGCTCCTTTTAGCAGGACAAAATCCTGTAAGCACCACTTTGGCTTCCATGCCTGGACCATGCATCCTTCCTGGAATGAACACAACCACGTCCTGCTGGAGGAGGAGGAGCCCTCCATGCCCTGGGAGCAGCCCAGGTTGGGGGGATCAAGCCTGGACCCCTGAAAACCCCAGTTTGCCATGGGGTTGGGGGTTCCTGCTGGAGTCCAGCCGCCCAAATCCCACAGAATGTGCAGCTCTGGCTGCCTTCAGGATAAATAAATGGCATTTTAAAAATCAGTGGGAATGATTCCATTTTCTTATCTTTGATTGTTAATAATGGATATACTTGACAGGACCCCAGCCAGGTAGGGAGCTCCTGGCTCCAGAGGCCACAGCCCAGCCCTGTCTGCACTTCCATGGGAATCACAGCCAGCCCCTGCCTAAACACAACACCCACACAAAGCTGGATTTGGTGTTGATTCAGGCCGACAGAATGAAAACTGCCTTTGGCCCCTGGCAGAGCCAAAGGGTGGGAGGAAGACGGGGTACAGCATCCCCCCAGCTGCCACCCCCAAAATCGCCTGTAACAGCAAAGGGGGACTCAGAGCTCGGTGATGCACCAGGGGGAAAGAGTGAAGATGGAAAAATAAAAGCAGATTATTGGCACTTGGGCAGGGAGGAGAGGAAGGAGGGAAGAAGGAGGGAGAAGACCCTTCTGGAAATCCCCTCTGGACTGATATTCTCCAGAGTGGGGTGCTGCTCCCCAGAACATTCCCGTGGGATGTGGGAAGAAAACCTCAGTTCTCCAGCAGTGCGTGCACATGGTTCATAAATAAATAAATTAATTAATGCACGTTTCCTGGGGGTGTGTGGCCCTGGCAGGGATGCACAACCCAAACCTAGCTCAGAGACCGCTGCCCCAAGTGGAGAGACAAAAGGGAGGGACGTCCCCCCTCCTTGGTCCATGTCCCCATCCCTCACCTCTGTCCTCCTCCTTCTCTCGGCCGCTCCTGCCCCTGAGCGCCCGGCTCCGGGGGCCGCTGTTATCCCGGGATTTTCCCCTGTCCGACGGCTCCTTGGAGGTGTTTCTGAACCAGGGCCCGTGTCGCCGGCCCCCCGCCGGTATCGTCGCTGCCACCTTGAAGCCGCGGCTGAGCTGCATCACCCCCAGGTAGGGCAGCCCCGGCCCCTCTGCGGCCGCGGGGCTGCGGGGGCTCCCCGCTACCGTGGGCTCCCCGGAAAAGCCGGAATGCAGGAAAACCAAACTGCCGGCAGCCAGGTAGAGAGCCAGCAGCGTGAAAAAACGCACGGGTTTGCGCCGAAAATACCGCTGGAGTTTTAGCAAAAGCTTGGCCATAGCGTCTTCATCCCTCCCGCGGCAGCCGGCGCCGCGGGGAAGCTGCTCGGCGGCTCCAGGGATGCTCCGAGGTGGGGATTATCCCGCCTGGATTGGAGGTGAATCCCGGCGAGCAGATGGGGTGAGGGTTGCAGGGTGAGGTCGTGCGCAGCTGTTGCTCGACCCTAAAAAGTCCTGGAGTGCTGGGGAAGGTGGATTTTGAGTCCCCGCGTGGTGGCCGGGGTATTCCAGCGCTGGCTGTCACCTCCAGCCCCGGTTTATTCTCCTGCCGGCAAAGCCCCGCGGCTGTGCCCCGCGGACCGCGCGGATGGAGGGATCATGTTAAGGAAATCGAGGTTTGAAGGTGATTTGAAAGCCGATCAGCTGCCGCAGCTCCTGGCTCCCGGCGGCACCGGCTCCGTCAGGCATCGCTCGAATGGGAACGGCACCTCTGCCCTTTCAGACAAAGAATGAAAAGTCTGGAGGCTGGAATGCTGCCTGGGACCCTTTGTTCAAGGGAACCCCTTTCAGCTCACTCCCAGGGCAAGAAATCTCCACCTGCAAGTCAAAGAGAGAAGCGCACTCAGGAAATCGTCCCAGCACGGGGAGGGCGGTGACCCTGTCCCGCCCGGGGGTGAGGAAGGACACCCGCGGTCTTCATCGCCTTCCAGCCCTGGACAGGGGCAGTTCCACCTCTCCCAGGTGGGTAACTGGGTGCAGTGGGAGCGATGCTGGTGGGGTGAGCCCAAAGCCCAGAGCCTGCACGTCTCCACCTGGTTGTGCAGGAGAGGTGCTCCAGAATGGCTCTGGGATGTGGAAAATTTCCAGTTTCACCCAATTTCACCGCCGGGAGGATGAGCTGTGCACACACACTCTGCACAAATACATTTCCCCGCACCAGCAGATCCCAAGGGAAATCCATGCGTGGGCAGCAGGGTGGATATTCCAGCATCCCATGGGTCAGGAGCACAACATCCCTGGGTGTTTCTCCAGTCTCTCACATCCCCAGGAATTGGAGATTGCCTGACATCCTCTATCCTCCAGCCAGGAGCACCCCCATTCCCACCCTGCCACCAGGATAGCGCTGTCCCAGGAACACCAGGACCATCCCTGGTGGCTCTGGGCACGGGAAGGGCAGAGAAGGGACAGTTCCATCCAGCTCCACCAGGCTGGACTTCCTCCATGGGATTTCTCTCCTTCAAACCCTCCCAGCTATGGAAGATCTGTTCCAGCCCTTCCTGGGAAAGCACCACGTGGGAAATGCCCCTGCTGACACATCCGAGTGCTGGGAATGGTCTCGTGCCCGGGGTGTGCTGCCTGTCACGGTCTCGTCTTATTTTAGGAAAGGAGATGGAAATAAATGGAAAGACAAAGTGCCATTAGTTTAATGGCCTCTATGTTCCTGCCATCTGTCTTCAGTTGATTAAATAAAAAATATTGGTGGAACATATGGCATGAATTATACATCAATATTTTAATTTGGTTTCCCAGAGTGGTTATTCAGATACCTCCGGCTCTGCCGCGGGAATTTTATGGAGCTCAGGGTTTGACAGGCTGGGGCAGAGCAGCGGAGGGGCACGATCCCAAACCAGCCCTCCCCAGCCAGGCTCGGAGCCAACACAGCTGGAGTAAAGGCTGAGTAACCTCGGAGTAGCAGGGGTTTGGGTTTTCCAAGTGCAGGATGTGGCAGGGAAGGTGCAGGTGGCACTTCAGCATGGTCAGGGAGGAGGGGCCATGCAGGGAGAGCAGCCCCCAGCCCGGTGGTCCCAGGGGTGCTCGGCTGCTCTCCCGTGCTCCCTGAGCAGGATTTTACGGCTTTCCTTTACCCAGAACAAATCCACCTTCCCGGGATTTGGATAGGAGCTAAATACGGGGTGATTTGGGGAACAAACGGAACGTCCCCAGGGCTGTCCCTGCTCCCCCGTGTCACCCTCCTCCACCCCTCCGCGGCTTGCCCCTGCCAGGCTCAGGCACAGCATATAAAGAAGGGGCTTAAATTACTCTCATTAAGCCATCTGGAGCTCATCCTTCTCCATCATGAACTGCGGAGTCACAGGTCAATTACTGCGCATTTGCATATATTCCATTAATGCTTCTGCTAATTGTCTCGGGCAGATAATGGGCTCGGCTCCGGGCTCCCGGGGATCACAGGGCGGCAGAAAGAGCCGGCACCAGTGCTCCCAGTACGGACACCAGTGCCCCCAGTATCAGCAGAGGCTGTGGATATCAGGAGCTGATGGATGCAGGACGCAGCCGAGAACGCCATTCCCTGCATCCCACCTGTGTTGTAAGGATGGATCCACCCCCCGTGCAGCAGCGCTGGGGTGAAGGACCAGCCACCCCCCCGGTCGCCACTGCCACCATCACCCGCCACGGTGTCCCCAGGGGTTCCATCCCGCCCCCCAACCCCATTGCTGGATCCTGGCGCCGGTGCCAGCCCGCGGAGTGGCCGGGGGACAGCGGTGACACACTTTGTCATCCAAACTAATGAAGCAAACGGGGACAGTCCCCAGGCAGCGCAATGCAGCGTCCTCAGCCTGGGAAACTGCTGGGACAGCAGGGGAAGGAGGGAATTATCCGCCAGCCCTCGCTGGGTTGTGACCCGCTGTGATCCATCCCCCTGCCTGAATCCCAGGGGAAGGATCCAGCCCTGGGAGCTGCAGTGAAGGAAAAATCCCCCCGGCTGGCAGTGCCAGGATTGGGGAATCCCTCCCTGCTCCCCCAGACCCTTTGGTACCCAGAGCTAAAGCACAGCAGAGCCCAGTGGGGGCATTTCCCAGGGTGTGGGTCCAGCCAGGATTGGGGAATGGTTTTCTGCCTACATCCCTCACCACACTCCCAAAATTCCCAACCCAGCACTGGGATACCCAAATCTCCATCACCACACTCCCGCCAGGAGCCAAAATCCTCACCCCAGCACTGGGATACCCAGCTGGGCATCACTCCACACCCAACCCACCTCCCTGAGCGGTGCCAGCTGTCCCCAAGCCAAGGAAATCCTCGATTTCCAGCTTTATCCAGGTTCATCCATCCCTCTGTGCGTGGAGAGGTGAGAACAGGTCCGGGAGCGGGATGAATGAAGGGCCCATCAATTATGGATTTGGGGCTTGTCTTCGAATTGCTCTGCAATTATTGAGGCCCAAGGTTCACTTGTCTTCAGGCACCACCTCCCATCAGAGCAGGGACAAACGCCCTCACGTGGCTTCCCCAGGCCGGGAGAACAATGGGCCCATTAAAACCAGCAAATTAACCACCACCAGAATTCCATTAGGAGGAGAGGGCGACGGGAATATCCAATTTCGTCCCCTCATTAACATTTCTTATCACAGGGACGGGGAAAGAATAGGGCTCGAAAACAAAGGGGTGGTGACATCAGTGGGGTGACCCCACGGGAGGGCTGTGACGCAGGAAACGACCCCGGTCAGGAGGTGGGGACAGCAGGTCCTGCACCCCCCTGGGCACCCTGGGGAATGCTGGAATGCTCCTGCCCAGTCTGGAAATGTGGCAGTGGGAAGGACCCAGGGGATGGGGTAAAAGATTCCACTCCATGGGGTGCAGCACCCGGTGCACGGAGGTTCCCTGGACCCGCTGTCACCAAAAGCCACCCATTTGGGTGCAGGGACCACCAAAAGCCCCATGTCCCTCCATCCCAGAGCAGTGCCACAAGTGGCTGCTGCCACTGCCAGAGCAGCTCCTGCATCTCCTCTTCCTCCCCAGCACCAACCAGCGACACCAGTACCACTCCCAGCGACACCAGTACCACCCCCAGTGACACCAGTACTGTGGAGGGAGCAGAAAATATTAATAAAGAAGAAAGTCCCCCTGCATCCTCACAACAAGCCCCTTGGAAAACCATAGCTTAGAGATAAGAAATGGCTTGTGAAATGACGAATGCAAAAAGGAATCCAGTTCCCCCCCTTGGTAGACCCTCTTATCTATCTTCAATATTCGTGGCTCATTTTCTTTTAGTATCCATAGGCCAGCTTTGAATGTAAATCCCTCGGAGATTGGTTAGAATGTCGAATTCCCTTGGTAATTCGTGCAAACTGTAAAACCCCCAAAAGATATAAAACCCCTGTAAAACCCTAACCATTGTATATGCTAGCTAGGATGCCTTCATAGAATAAACCATGGATTTGTGCCTTTCTGCATATTCTAATTTCTCCACCCCGCTGGTCTGAGAGCTCACCACGAGCTAAAATTCTCTCTGGGCAAGGCTCGGGAACGTGCTCTGTCACTGAGGGCTGCAGAAGCAGTCTCGGGGATCCCAAAAAGACCCCAAAACCCCACCAGCGACAAGTACCACTCCCAGTGACACCAGTACCACCCCCAGTGACACCAGTACTGTGGAGGGAACAGAAAATATTTAATAAAGAAGAAAGTCCCCCTGCATCCTCACAACAAGCCCCTTGGAAAACCATAGCTTAAAGATAAGAAATGGCTGTGAAATGACGACTACAAAAAGGAATCCAGTTCCCCCCCTTGTAGACCCTCTTATCTATCTTCAATATTCGTGGCTCATTTTCTTTTAGTATCCATAGGCCAGCTTTGAATGTAAATCCCTCGGGGATTGGTTAGAATGTCGAATTCCCTTGGTAATTGGTGCAAACTGTAAAACCCTCAGAAGATATAAAACCCCTGTAAAACCCTAACCATTGTATATGCTAGATTGGATGCCTTCATAGAATAAAGCATGGATTTGTGCCTTTCTGCATATTCCAATCTCTCCACCCCGCTGGTCTGAGAGCTCACCACGAGCCAAAATTCTCTCTGGGCAAGGCTCGGGAACGTGCTCTGTCACTGAGGGCTGCAGAAACAGTCTCGGGGATCCCAAAGGGACCCCAAAACCCCACCAGCGACAAGTACCACTCCCAGTGACACCAGTACCACCCCCAGTGACACCAGTACCACCCCCAGTGACACTGGGCACCCTTGGCACTGCCATCCCTCAAACCCTTCAGCCTCCATCCCCAGGAGTGTCCTGGAATTGCTGCCCAGGCAGAGATTGGGCAACCCAAGCTCCCAGG